GTTTTAGAGTTTCAGTTACGAATTCTTTTGTGGAGTTTTGTGATCAACATTCTTTTTAGAGGGGGCTTATGGTGATTATCCCTCTTTTTTTTGGTGGTTTTCTGCTGTCACTTGGTCTTGTAGTATTAGTATTTTGATTTGATTTGAGATGCCTTATTGTTAGTCTTTGATTGACACTAGAGTGGCAAAACTATTTTGGATGCTGCAAGTCAATTATTTTATTGATGAATAGCATTTTTCCTTCTTAATTTATACTTTGATATTCATGGTAAAATTCTGATGCTTTATGGAATTTTGTTGTTTGGTCTTATCGTTGGTCTAGTTTTAGTTCATTTTGTTTTGTGGTCTCTTGTTATGTTGTGTTTATACTTGTGCGAGCTGCACTTACATCTCTAGAATTTGGTATTCTGTTCAGTTTCTGGAAGATTTTATAAATGGAGCTGAAGTTGCATCCCTGTTGGATTGCATTCGCCTAACTGCCGGACCCTTGCATGCTCTTGCCGCTGCAACTCGCCCTGCAAGAGGTGGTCCTGCTCCAGGGGCTCCTGGTGCAGCAGCAGCTGTTGCTTCTATGCCAAAACAGGCAGGATATGTCCACTCCCAGGGACTTTTGCCTAGCAGTTTGATGAATAATATTAGCCAGTCAACTTCTGGCTCCGTAGGCAATGCTTCTATCTCTACTGGACCTCTTGGGAATCACAATCCTCATAGTGCTGCAATATTAGCTGCTGCTGCCCGAGGGGGCCCTGGCATTGTTCCCAGCTCGCTGTTGCCAATTGATGTCTCTGTTGTACTACGTGGCCCCTACTGGATCCGGATTATTTACCGGAAGAATTTTGCAGTTGATATGCGATGCTTTGCTGGAGATCAGGTTTGGTTGCAACCAGCAACACCACCTAAGGGGGGTCCTTCAGTTGGAGGATCATTACCCTGTCCACAGTTTCGCCCTTTCATCATGGAGCATGTTGCCCAAGAACTGAATGGATTAGATCCTGGCTTTGCTGGTGGTCAGCAGACAGTTGGACTGGGAAATTCTAACAATCCTAACCCAAGTTCAGTTTCTCAACTGTCAAGTGTTAATGGGAATAGAGTTAACCTTCCTGGTTCTGCAGCAATATCTAGGGCAGCAAACCAAGTGGCTGCTTTGAATCGTGTTGGAAATGCTGTTCCAGGATCATCAAATTTGGCTGTCCTAAGCTCAGGATTGCCCATACGCAGATCCCCAGGTGTTGGTGTCCCTGCTCATGTTAGAGGAGAGCTGAATACAGCCATTATTGGTCTTGGTGATGATGGAGGGTATGGAGGTGGATGGGTTCCTCTTGTTGCCCTTAAGAAGGTTCTAAGAGGCATTCTTAAATACCTTGGAGTGCTGTGGCTTTTCGCTCAATTACCAGGCCTTTTGAAAGAGATCCTAGGGTCAATTTTGAAGGAAAATGAAGGTGCGCTCTTGAATTTGGACCAGGAACAGCCAGCCTTGCGCTTCTTTGTGGGGTAAGTGAGAGAATCTTTTTCCTTGTTGTGAATTAGTTCAAGAGAATTTTTCATGCTATTCAATGATCATTGATCAGTGAGGGTGTCTCAGTAATTGGTATGGTGCTTTGATAATCTTTGCACGCCCACATGGATGTAACATCATTGTATTTCTTCACACTGTTGTACACTAGAGAGCATCTAGTCCGTCCTTGTGAAACTCGGAGAGAACAAGAAAAGCCAATGACAGCAAGACAGAAAGAGAGCATTCCACTACAGTGCTACAGTTGTTTACTATGAGTTACTGAACACCCTTTTTTTTTTTCGGGGGTGGGGGTGGGGATGGGGATGGGGATGGGGAGGGATAGGAGTGATACATGAAAATACAGGAATGAAAAATATAATAAAATGGGACAAATTACAATACATGTGACGTGCTTCATTCTTGTGTTCATGAGGGACCCATCTGTTGTAATACTACGTTTAGTTAATACTCCACTGTAGAGGCAGCAATGGAGAAGAGACAGACAATTGAGAGAATATGGAACAAGTGAACAGGATTGCTGAAACAGCCAATGACAGGGGCCTGCTTGGAAATTATTAATTATAATGGTGGTGAACATTAAATAGTCTAGGCCATAGCATGTTTGTCTTGTGCAAGGGCTATGTATTTGCAGCATCTTTGTGCTGGGACTTCACATTGTCATTTTTCTTCCATGATCTGATGGCATTTGTTTTCTGCAGGGGCTATGTGTTTGCTGTAAGTGTCCATAGAGTTCAACTTCTTCTTCAAGTGATTAGCGTCAAGCGCTTTCATCATCAACAGCAGCAGCAACAACAACAAAACAATACTGCTGCTCAAGAAGAACTGACTCAATCTGAAATTGGAGAAATATGTGACTATTTTAGTCGTCGGGTAGCATCGGAGCCCTATGATGCTTCTCGTGTTGCATCATTCATTACCCTTCTCACCCTGCCCATATCAGTTCTAAGAGAATTTTTAAAATTAATTGCATGGAAGAAAGGATTGGTTCTGGCACAAGGTGGAGAAATAGCTCCAGGACAAAAACCCCGTATTGAATTATGCCTTGAAAATCATACTGGGTTAAATATAGACGAGAATTCTGAGAATTTATCTGCTGCGAAAAGCAATATTCATTATGACCGTCCCCATAATTCTGTTGATTTCGCACTGACTGTTGTCCTTGATCCAGCTCACTTGCCTCACATTAATGCTGCGGGTGGTGCTGCTTGGTTACCTTACTGTGTCTCTGTAAGGTTGAGATATTTATTTGGTGAAAACTCGAATGTGTCTTTCCTTGGCATGGAGGGAAGCCATGGAGGCCGAGCTTGCTGGTCGCATGCTGATGACTGGGAGAAATGTAAACAGAGGGTGGCCCGAACTGTGGAAGTAACTGAACAGAGGGTGGCTCGAACTGTGGAAGTAACTGGCTCTTCAGCAGGAGATGCCCAAGGAAAGTTGAGACCAGTTGCAGACAGTGTGCAAAAAACCCTACATATGTGCCTCCAAGGGTTGAGAGATGGCGGTGGAGTTACAGCAAGCTCTGGGGCAGCATGATAAATAGGTTCCCTGCTTGCATTTTTTGTATTATTTGCAACGATCGGGAATGAGGAAGTGGATAATGATCCAGTTGTGGGTTTTTCATTCCGTAGGGCTTGCCCATTTCTGGACTCTGCAATTGGTGTTGGAGATACATGCGTTGATAGGAAATAAGGTCTAATCATTGCACAAGTGCCGATGAAGATACGGATGACTGGGCAGGAGTTTTCCACACACAAGTTTCTTATCCAGTGCTCTGATGGTTAGGGTGTAAAATATTTCCTTTGTACAGAAATAACACTTGATGAGTAGACAAACTTTGTAAAAAATGAAAAAAATCTGTTAGATTTGTATACTCAATGGGCATTCGAAAGGTGTCTAAGATTGTTTTCAGACTGCCCCAGGACATTAGTTTTATGTATACGCTGCTGCTGTCTGTTTTTCCCAATTTCAAACCTTTTGTCTTTAGGAAATCACAAAGTTAAAAAATCTGCGACCTTCTGATTATCCATAAAATTATACAGTTTAATACTAAATGTGTTCTAGGTTGGCTCACTAGCGTCATCTTGAGTTACGAGATGAGGCATTCTACGTGTCTTCGTGAGACTGTATCCTAATCTGTCAAGCAGTTCTTTCTTCTCCAGCATCCTTCTAAGCTCAGATCAGGAGCTTGGACTGCTTGTTTATCAAGTTTACACC